CGCTGTAAACAAAGCTAACTGCTAACAGGCTAACAGCCGCCGCTTCAGTCAGACTGAACCTGAGCTCTGAATCTGCTGAGTCGTGGAAACGTCTCATGTTTAAGGTGTGCAGAGTCGTGTTTATTAAAAGGCGGGTTGGATGCTTCAGTATTTTACCTCTGTGAGAGAAAAACAAACATTTGAGTTTGTTTCAGGATCGTACAGAAACTCACGCAGCTTTAACTCACAGCATTTAAGCTTCTGCATTTTCAGAGGACAAAGTTCAAAGTGCAGCTACAAAGAGTTTGTGCAGACGCAGCAGCTGATCACCGATCAATGAAACCTCTCACCTCTAGACAGGAAGCAATCAGTAATTACAGGAAGCAACTACAGGAACGTGAAAACACACACGCAGAACTGAAAGTCCTGCTGGTGATAAAGCACGTATCCAACTGACTAATCAATAAGCTGATCAGCAGAAAATGAACCTGCAACCAGCTGAGGAACCAACCAAATCTGCAGATGGATCCTGAGCGTCCAGCGTCTCCTCACAGAAGAGACAACCAACAATTACTATTAATTAACCTGCAGATTATTTTCTTTTTTAAATGATTAATTGATTTGTGTACAGAAAAGGAGTTTGAGGAGACGTCTTCAAATGTCTCGTTACTGAGACCGGACGCAGAGAAACTGAAGCCTCGTCGTAACTGATAAACAGACGTAGAAACGATGAAACAGTTCGATCCATCTGAAGAAACTCAGACCAGACTACAGCTGCAACTAGCGATTATTTTCACTGTCCATTAATCCATCAGTTGCTTAGTTTATAAAATGTCCATCAGTGTTTCCCAAAGCTCCTCTAACGCCTTGTTCTGCCCACAACCCAAATATATTCAGTTCACTGTCATAGAGGAGGAAATAAACCAGAACACGTTCACATTTAAGAAGCTGGACTCAAACAGATTCATCGATTATTAAAACAGCTGATGATTCTTTTAATAGCTAAAGACTAATCGACGAACCGATCCAATACTGTCCTCCTGAGAACATCTGGGTTTCACCGTCAGGTCCTGAATCTGATCAGAACCAGGATGTGAACGCAGACAGAACCACTCGTACTGAAAACACACACAGCCGTTTGGTGGACGTGTTAAACTATTAGCTGATTAATCTGAAGGTAATCGATTGATCATTAAAGACAGCAGCTGCTGTTCTGTTGGTTTTGGGTCTGCAATGATCATAACTGCAGGTTAGCATCCACACAGCTGGTTTCAATCCTCCAGAGTTAACCAGCTCTGACTAACCTGCAGCCTGAAGCTAACAGCCCAGCTAGCCTGAAGCTAACAGCCCAGCTAGCCTGAAGCTAACAGCCCAGCTAGCCTGAAGCTAACAGCCCAGCTAGCCTGAAGCTAACAGCCCAGCTAGCTTCACATAGCTGCAGTAAACTTCAGTCTGAGGCCTCTGCTTCACCTCCAGACTGTCTGACAGCTAATGACAATTAGCACTTAGCAGGTAAACGACAGGTAATGTGAAGCCCCAGTCTGTTAAATCTTCCAAAGAGACGCCTTTCAGCAAAGGAACAAACAAACAAACAAGCAGCGCTGCCTTCCCGACAACTAATCAACAAACTTCGCTAGCCACGGCGCTAGTTAGCATGCTACTAGCTGCGGCCATCTGAAACCATGAAACACCTGGCTAACTGACTAGCCTGTGAGGCTAACCAACGTCCAGAGAGGGCTGAGAGGAAGGAAAACAGCGCGTCGATATGTCAACAGAACAAAAGTGATTTCGCAGTAAAGACCGTGTTTGTTTCCTCCCAGACAGACAGGCAGGCAGCAGCTAGCAGCAGCTAGCAGCAGAGCTAACAGGAGAGGCCGAGGGTCAAACTAACCTGAAGGAAGAAATCTCTCTGTCCGCGGGAGAAAAAGCTGCTGGCAGCGACCAGAACCGCCGGACTCTTGTTCCCGGGTTCGTCACGTTAACGTGAAACCCTCCAGCTGTCGGCTCCTTCAGTCAGCTGCTCATTACATGATGTTTTAAAAGGTTAAATCTCGGTTTGAACGGAGCTCCGCTGCTGCTGAACCTGCCTGTTCACTTACTAACAACTACTGACCGAGAACAGCGACGTGCGGCTGGAGCAGCTGCGTCATGACGTAGTCAAGTCTGCCAAAGATCGTCTACGTCAAACAAGATGGCGTTCAAATGTGAACACCTTTATTTATCTTTCCGTTTTGAATTTCCTTTCACAAGGTTTGATTTTGGCTTCCATTTATGATGTCTGAGTATTAGGGTCACATTAAGGAAAGATAATTGAGGAGGAAGATATTTCATTTATTTTGTCATTTAAACTTTATTCTCGAAATGCAAAACAAATCTTCATCCTCAGTTTTCTTTCCTTAATGTGACCCTCATACACCGCCGTACTTAAGAGGCCATACATCCATACATTATGTTTACTCCTTTTTCCCAGGATAACAAGTTTATTAAATTTGTTTTCTTTAAATCTCGAGTCAATTATGTCATTATCTCAAAATAACAAATGTTGTTCTCACAAGATAACCGGATCATTTTCTTGAGATCTCGAGATCAAGAAACTTTGTTTTCCCGAGATAATGACATAATTAATTTGAGATCTCATGAAAATCAAACGATGGTCTCTTATATAACTACTGTACTCAGGATATGCGGTTGAGGATGGATGGATGAAGTGGAGCGAGATGCAGCCTGTATTCTTTTGCATTCTGTTGTGGATCAATATAAATAAATAAATACATTTGAATGTAAAATTAAGGGTTTATATCACAACAAACATCTTCCTTCCTTAAGACTACCCCCAAACAGAAAAGCACGTGTACATTAAACTTGTTCTGTTTTATTTATACTCTTTTATTAGTTCATATTGTTGTTATTTATTTAATATGTTTTTATGATTACCTATTTATATACTTTATGAAAAAGTAATTATCAGCACTATAAAGCGGTTCAGGTTTGTGACATGATGAAAGTCTCACAGTGTTTTTGGTTCACAGCAACAGAGAGATACCTCCTGTTGATCAATAATCAATAATCTATCTGTGAGCTGACTTCAGATTTAACAACAACAACAACAAGACAAAAACCTGCTGCAGGTTTCCCAGAACCAGGAGAACTGGGAGAACCAGCAGCCCGGGTTCAAAGGTCACATTCAAGACAGTCGGGGTGCAACCAGAGCAGATTTACTGATCAGAGCGATCTGTCTGAGACGCCAATCAGATGAACAAAATGGACTCTTTTTTTAAAGAGGTGTTGGTATCATGATCATGTTCATATTGCTTATTCAGGGGTTGTACCAGAGCAGGTTTACATGGTTATATTTTAGTCGTCCTGCACGTTGCTGCAGCTCCTCTTTTCACCCTGTGGAAAGCGGAAGTAAAGGCTGGACTACAAACGAGCTGTTTTCAGTCAGCAGAGTTTTCTGTGGGAGATGGGAACTCCCTTTGGGCTTTTTCACTTTGCACACTTATTACATGCACAAAAAAGGTTTATAACTCAATAAAGGAGAGGGGAAAAGGCAAAAAGCAGAATACCACCTCTTTGATAAAGAAATATTCTCCTTTCCTTCACCGCCTCCTCCTTTTCTTTTTCAAAATATAAGATATCTCTGGTTCTGCTGCATCAATTTTTATCTTTTAAAAAAAAAAAAAGTCAATAATGAGTCTATCAGTTTTACAGGAGAGTGATGAACAGAACCAGGTCAGTACTACATTAAAACATGTTGTGTTCTTTGTTGTTCATGTTATTCATACCAGAGTTTTTGTTTATTTAAAGATGATGATGATGATGATGATGATGATGATGATGATGATGATGATGATGATGATGATGATGATGATGATGACGTCTGTGGAATAATCTGATTTATTATACACCAAAATACTGTAACCCTATTGGTCCGTTTACACTGGAGGGGGGGGGGTCACCACTGCAGCACTGATGGAATCTGCAGAGGTCGGAGGTCGAGGTTTAGTCCTGTCCTGCTGTACTGAGACAAACTGACAAACTTTTACCAAAGATTAACCCTTTATTTATAGGAGTCAAACAGAAGAAAAGAAGTACGAGAGGATCTACTGCAGATCCTTCTGCTATTGGTTGTGTATAAAAGAACAAGAGTCAGCTACAGATCTACTCAAGATATATTTTCAATTGGATCTACTGGTGATCATCTACAATAATTTACGGAAGATGTTCTCTGGATCTATAGGGATCATCTGTAAATCTACAGTTCCTTTGGAAGATCCACCAACACTTTTTCTTTAGGTCTATTATCTAATGATGATCTTCTGTAAATCTACAGAGGATCTTCCGTGGATTAACTGAGAATCTTCTGTGGATCCACCAGTAGATCCCTGGTGGATTTCCAATAAATCCATGGTGGATTACCAGGAATCCCCAGCAGATCTCTGGCGAATCCCAGCAGATCTCTACAGATCTCTGGTGAACCCCCAATAGATCTCAACGGATCTCTGGTTGATCCCCAGGAGATCTCTGGTGATTCCCAAGCAGATCCCTAGTGGATCCCCAGTAGATCTCTGGTGGATCCCCAGTAGATCTCTACAGATCTCTGGTGGATCCCCAGTAGATCTCTACAGATCTCTGGTGGATCCCCAGTAGATCTCTGGTGGATCCCCAGTAGATCTCTGGTGGATCCCCAGTAGATCCCCGGTGGATCCCCAGTAGATCCCCGGTAGATCTCTACAGATCTCTGGTTGATCCCCAGTAGATCTCTGGTTGATCCCCAGTAGATCTCTGGTTGATCCCCAGTAGATCTCTGGTGGATCCCCAGTAGATCCCCAGTAGATCTCTGGTGGATCCCCAGTAGATCTCTGGTGGATCCCCAGTAGATCTCTGGTGGATCCCCAGTAGATCTCTGGTGGATCCCCAGTAGATCTCTGGTGGATCCCCAGTAGATCTCTACAGATCTCTGGTTGATCCCCAGTAGATCTCTGGTGGATCCCCAGTAGATCCCCAGTAGATCTCTGGTGGATCCCCAGTAGATCTCTGGTGGATCCCCAGTAGATCTCTACAGATCTCTGGTTGATCCCCAGTAGATCTCTGGTGGATTCCCAGTAGATCTCTGGTGGGTCTCCAGCAGATCTCTGGTGGATTTCCAGTAAATCTCTTGTGGATCAGCAGTAGATCTCTGGCGGATCATTTATGGATCTCCAGTGGATCAATGATTGATATTCTGTAGTATTGTGGTGGATCTCCTGTAGATCCACAGATGACCCCCCACAGATCGGTGGTGCATCTCCAGTGGATCCTAGTAGGTCTGTGGTGGTTCTGGTGACCTGCCTCAAGGCAGAGTCTCCATGTTGACCCTGGACAGGGTGAGATCGTAGTAGATGGAGAGTTGGTTGATGGCTCTCAGGTTAGTGACCCGGTGTTGGAACGTCAGCAGGTGAGTGTTGTTGACGGCCACCTTAAACTCTTTGTTGGTGCACATGATCTTCATCTGCAACAACAAAACCACAAACTGTCACCACCCAGATCACATCTTTGCAGACTGGCCCTTCAACTACATTTAATGGTACATTCAGGTACATTCACTAATTATTATGAATTAATACATAAAATACGAGGATTCTTAGTGTTAAATTAAATACTTGACCTCGAATGGCTGCCCTGGGACGAAGGGGAATTGCTGCAGTTCTCTCTCCTCTCTCCCCCAGTTCTTGCCGATGCAGCTGTTCCTCACGATCACCTTCTTGCCGTCCTCATTGAAGCGAGGGTTGAAGTGGAAGGCCAAGTCTTGGTCTGTGTTCAGATCCACTGTGATCCTGTAAAATAACAGAGACCGTCCCTGATCAGCTGAATCCACCTGTACTATAAAATGTTAAAATGTCCTTGGCACATTTAACATGAAGTGTTCATACAACCAGTTTTAAATCTGAAGTTATCACATATGGACGCGTGGTCAAGACCCGCTGGCGTCACTTTGTAACGCACTGGTGGCCCCATAGAATCATCTTTCAACGCACTGGGGAAAGCCCTGTAGTGTCACTTTTTAACAGTAAGGCAGGTAGGACTTTCGCCCAGGAGCCCGTGTTCCTTTCCAGTGTGAAACAAAAAGTAGTTTTGGTGCCTCAACCTGACCGAGTGGTTTTGGTGCCTCATCCTGGCCGAGTGGTTTTGGTGCCTCAACCTGGCCGAGTGGTTTTGGTGCCTCAACCTGGCCGAGTGGTTTTGGTGCCTCAACCTGGCCGAGTGGTTTTGGTGCCTCAACCTGGCCGAGTGGTTTTGGTGCCTCAACCTGACCGAGTGGTTTTGGTGCCTCAACCTAGCCGAGTGGTTTTGGTGCCTCAACCTGGCCGAGTGGTTTTGGTGCCTAAACCTAACAGAGAACCAAAAACATTGCTAAAGGGTACCCAGGGCATTAAAAAGTGACAGCAAGGGGTCCTGACCAAGCGTCCATATGTGAGGAGTTGGGAGTGAGAAAGTGTTCATACTGACTTGTTAGCATTGGGTTTGATGGTTCCAGCGATGGTGATGAGCAGTTTGTCATAAACTCCACTGGGAAGAGTCTGTTTGTACGGAACCACCTGTCAACAAGGAAACAGCTGTTAACTCCACCCATCCATCTACTCATCTGCCCATCTATCATCAGTCCTTCTGTCTGTCCGACTATCTGTCTCACCAGACTCTGTTGGGGGGCAGCAGGGACGCCAGGTCCAGGTCCAGGTGAAGGACTGGGCCATCCTCCAGGTGCGGTGGGTTGAGGTGAGGGACCTCCAGGCCAGGCGCCTCCACCTACAGAAGGACCTCCGGGCCAGGTAGGGTTGGGACCTGGTTGACCGGGCCATGCCGGGTTGGCAGCTGGTTGACCGGGCCATGCCGGGTTGGCAGCTGGTTGACCGGGCCAGGCCGGGTTGGCAGCTGGTTGACCTGGTTTTCACACAAATACATCCTGGTTTATCAAGGATTTAACATTCCTGGAGGTCAATCAACAGATGTAGCTGTGGGATCTTTTACATCTAGCTCTGGTCTTTGTTTGAAACTGAATTTACACAAATCAGCTTCATGTAAGTTTTCTACACATTTGTTTTGGACCTATGAAGCCCTCTAAACTGCACCGATCACCATCAGGATTATACGTTTGTTTAGAACCAGAAGCCTATGAAAGATCAACACCTGCTTCACATTGGGGCCTTAAGGTATCAAATAATAATAATAATAATAATAATAAAGAAAAAGACGATGATGGTGATGGTGATGATGACGACGATCGTACCTGGCCAGGCCGGATTGGCGGGCTGCCCGGGCCAAGGACCAGGTGCAGTTTCTCCTAATGACTGGCTGTTGCCACCAGCGGGCCAATCGCCAAGAGCATCTGAAAGCTGCAGAGGGAGAAAGAAAGGAGTTAAGTTCACTGACTGCAGCTACGCTAACATCCAACAGATGCTGCTGTGAAAGTTAAAACCTCCAATTTCTCTACAAACACAAAGACAGTTTAGTTTTTACACAACACGTCCAGCTCTCTGCAGATTCGCTGAGCTTCTTCCAATGATGTTAGCTGCGTTTGACTTCATGCTGACTTAAGGCCCATTTATATTCCTGTGTAGGGTCTACGTGCGTACCTACGCCGTAGGCTACACACGTAGCCATGCATTTATACTTGTGCGTAGGTGTGTGCGTCATTCTGCAATTACACCCCCAAACGCTAGTTCGGCAGTAGCGCTACAGCGTCCACTATGCTGACTTTGCCCGGTAGAGCAGGCTAACTTCTCACTAGGCTGAATGGGGGTAAAATTGTATATGTGCGGCTGGTGTAGCCTTTTCAAATGTTACTGACGGAGTGGATCACAGTCTGATAGCGAAACGAGTCATTTCGCTCGGGTTGTGACGGTCTAATATATTGATTCACTGTGTTACAGCCGCCGTTTTGGCCGTTAGCAAAGTTACTTCAATGCGCGGGGTACTTCCGGTCGGCTCAGAGGCATTGCGAGGCTACCCAGCCAACCAATTACAGAGCTTATGGTCCACGTTGACTCGACGTGTAGTTACATTTTGGACAGAGGCCAGCAGCAGGAAGTTTTATATTTTACAGTTTTCACACGTTATTTCATCACTAAATCCACTTCTGAGAAGTTTTGAGGTGAAATCAGCTGTGTAGATTTTATAATATTGACAGTTTTATGAGAAGTGATGGTGGAACAAAAGTGTGCTTGAGAGTTTTTGGAGTTGAGGAGCTCCGCGAGTGGCGGCGGGGGAAGCCTGCTGTGACCCGCGAGAGGAGCGTGTGAGGCCGGCCGCCCGCTCACAGAGCCCTCTGCTCCCGCCGCCACACAGACCGCTGCAGCAACAATGGCAGAGGAAAACACAGCTGGAAGCTTTTCATACCGCTTATCTGTCTTTACATTCTGAGGAACGTTCAAACGCTTTGACTTAAAAAAGAGACAGCTATGTGTGGCGTCGCTATGACGACAAGCTATGTACTATCTCTGGGTACTATCTGCAGTGGAAAACGGAGCAGGGCCGATTAGAGTGGAGGCGAGTCGAGCTGGTACTGGTGATGGAAAAGCGTCATATGTCCCTCAGGATGAACTTTGCTCTAGCGCCAACATCAGCTCAACATGTTAATGTGTCCAGCACTTTGCTTCCTGATCAAATCCCTGCAGAACTGATGACATTCCCATCAGCCTCAGCTGCCAATTAGCTAATGTTAGCATGCTTACACCCTAAACTAAGCCTCAGAGCTGCTAGCGTGGCTGCAGACTCAGTCCGTCACTAGATTTATTTTTAGCTGACTGATACAGTTTGTGTTCACTTAGTTTGCTTCTGTAGATTAAATGTAAAGTCACTACATTTGAGCTGCTTTACGCTCACACTGCTTTTCAGAAGCAAAGTGAGCAGCAGAATATGGAGTCAACCTCAGTTAACATGTTACAGCTGTGCAGATCTCCTTTAAATACCTGCAGGAAGGAGACAGACACTCACTGAACTGACACAAACTGCAGCAGTCTGGTGAGCCTGACTCAAATCTGTCTCTGAGACAATAAAGCTGCAGTAAACCTGTCCGAGCTGGCCCTGAACGCAGCACAGTTCTCAGAGGGTCCAGGGTGTGTGTGGTTGGCAGATTTAGGGCGTGTTTGTGACAGACTCATCAGGAATGTTCTGCATGAAGGCGTTGGTTTTATAGATGAACGCCGCCTTGTTGATCACACACACACACACACACACACACACACACACACACACACACACACACACTCCAGAGGACACTGACCAACATTCATTACAGACCCTAACCATAAACACCACTTACCTTTAACCTTCATCCTAAATGTAATTATTCATGTTACGGGGACCTGCACTCTGTCCACACAACATGAGTAATACTCTGCAGCGTCTGATCGCTCTCTGAGTCAGTAAATCCACCTGACGACGCAGAGTTTCAGTGTTTACCACCGGTGGAACTTCATGCATTCACCTAATAACGGCCCCGACATCGTCTTTAGTCTGGTTTCATCTCAGTGTGGCCCTGGAGAACTCCAGAGACCTTGGACTGTCTCAATAAACTGAAACCCTTTCAAACGCTGCCAACAAAGACTTTCTGTTGCTTCTGCCCTACACAAACATAATCCTCACTGCTCCACCTGTTCTTTCAACACTGCGCCAAGTGAAACTTCAGATTTTACAGAAGAACGTTTCACGGTCCAAGAAAATAAATAATTCATTTGATTAAATTCAAATTAATTTCTCAGCTGTAGGTATTTATTTTACTGAGGGGGGGGGGCTACAGCTGCTCAGAGACAGACTGGAGCTTCTTCTAATCCACTCCACCTCGCACACATAGAAGACGAGGAAAAAGCATCTTAGGATGGGTGGAGGTCCACAGGTATCACATAAAACTGACTGTACTATATGTACTAATATGTTCAAACCATCCTGAAATCAGTTTGAAGCACCGCAGAAGAAGAAGAGGACGCAGCGAGGTGACGTCACTAAAACTGCTTCACGTCCAGCAGCGTTTATTCATCAAGTCTGGTTCCTCTCAGGTTCTATTGACGCATGTGACTCAAAGTTCATGCGGATGGAAACGAGCATTCGTTCACCTTTTCTACATTTGGATCAAAGTGTTTTTCACTTTGTGGCCTTTTGCTTTTAGCGATCATCCAGTTTTTCCCTCTCCGAGGGGAACACTGAATGCAGTTTAGTGGTTTTATGCACAAACTGAAAAAGAGCATAAAGTCAGCTGGATGGAAACTCACTGGTGACATTAATAACTAGCTGCGAGTCATTAACCCTTTCTGTACTGCTGTGAACTCAAACTGGTTTTGTGCTGAAATAAAATGAAAAATCTCATTTCCTTTTTGTTAAATTAGAAGGTTCAGCTTGAAACGACACAATAACTAAAAACAGCAAATGAATCAGAAAATCAGTGATGAGCATCAGGAGAAAAGGTAAAAGTCAGACTCACGTCCATCCTGCTGCTGTGAGATCTGAAACACAGAGAGAAAAGATCCTGAGAGGGTGTGGTGGGCGAGTCCTGACAGGAGGAGGACAGAGCTTCTTCTTCTGCTCTCCTCAACACTTTACTGTCAGCTGCTAAATGTCTGATCACCCGTTACCTTTACACAGTATTTGGACTAGTATTAATAATGACAGCGTATCTCTGCATGTACTGCATTAGTTTGTAGTAGAAATATATCCTGTATCATGATGTTTTACTAAGTACTTCAGAAAAAACAGTAATACTACAGTATAGACAGTTTAAAAATATTAGCACCAGAATGTACCACAAGTAAAAAAGTACTCATGCAGAATCATATCATCTAACTCTGGCTTTAATGTTGCAGCCGGTGGACGTGGAGCGGATTTTAATGACGTTATTTAAAATAAAACATCATCATTTTTCAGGCGATTAGATTTTGTGCGACTGTGGATAGAAATATATAAAAAAACAGCTGGATTATTTGAACTCAGGGGCCATTTTTCTGAATTGTTAGTACTTTTACTTTGAAACTTAACTAAAATCATTTTGTTAATAATCCTTCTGTACTTTCAGCAGGACCGCAGAGTGTACATTTAGATCAACATGGTGGACAAAATAACAGAAACTGTTTCTGTTTAACAACAAAAACTACATCCTCCAATTGTTGTTAGTGTTGATGCTGCGGCCCCGTCTGTTACCTTTACACAGTATTTGTAGTAGTATTATCTTTACCCGTCTTGCACTGTGAGCCTCTGTGTTGCATCTTTTAAACAGTATCTGACTTTGTAGTAAAGATATATCCTGTTGCATGTTTTGCTAACATCTAGCGCTGGAAGTACTTCAGCAGAAGCAGTAATACTACAGTATAGAAAGTTCTGCATTCAACAATTTACTGACACACAAGTCCAAAAGTATTAGTGTCTAAATGTACTTAAAGTACGAAAAGGATGCAGAATCATATTATCATCACTGGTGACAGAGACTTGGGTTATTTATTATTATTTTAACTTTTTTCTGCATTATTAGTACTTTTACTTTTGATACTTTAAATTCATTTTGTTAATAAAACTTATTGTACTACAGACTGAGTATTTCTACATAGTTGTGTTGCTGTTTTTACTGTAGTAAAGTTCCAACATGATCCTCCAGGTACATCTGTCCAATCCTGAAGTACTGCACCTCAGCATTTCAGTATTTTCCACCGCTGGTTCATGTCTCTTTGACGTGGTTTTCTGTTGGAGGTGGGTGGAGTCAACTGTCTCACGCCAAACACACACAGCCTCCAGCAGAAGGTCCACACATCACATGACACATGATCCCTGCAGGTGAGTCTGAGGCCCAGTCCCCATGTCCACACTCTCAGACTCTGAGGTGCCTTCCCGGTGAGTCCGGGAGGGTTCAGGGTTGAGGGGGGACACTGAGATTAGGCCTGAGTCTGAGGTGAGTCACAGAGCGCTCGCTGCTCAGAGCTGGCTCTATAAATAAAGGCTGAACAACAGCATGAAGCGATAAATCAACTTTCTCCAGGAGCGGCTGAGCAGACTGCGCCACAGCAGAGAAGAACAAAGTGTTTCAGACTTTAACTTCCTGTTTCTCTTCCTGCTTTGACGTCATGGTCTGCCTCCGAGGAAGGACTGAGAATCTGAGTTTTCTGTCACACGGCTGGAAGATAAACACTGAACAGAAGCTGAAAAACACAGAAGTTAAAAGTAAAGAGAGCTGACGTACCTGAGTTCACCCGAGAGCTGCAGACTCAAACTGACGGTGTGTGAAAGAGCCGAGTGTTTAAGACCCTGAGCCCCGCCCCCACATCCAGACCACACCCACCAACACACACTAACACACCCTGAGGCACACCCACCAACACACACTAACACCAACACACACACACTGACACTAACACACTAACACACACTAACACCAACACACACACCCTGAGACACACACACTAACACCAACACACACACACTGACACTAACACACTAACACACACTAACACACACTAACACCAACACACACACACTAAC